CTAGCTGCTTAGTTTGTTTCAGACTCCCACAACTCTCCTGTTTTAAAGAAGAATGTCCTTTTCTCAGGGCTGAATCCACTGGTACTTGGTTTTCAGTCACGTGCTCAAGTGCTCGTTTCATTATTTAGCTTGAAGTAGTCCCTATGGGGTGATTGTGGATAATTGAAAAAAAGTCTCCTGATAATCTCCTCTGCTTGAGACGAAGTTACCTACTGTAAACGTGTTCCTTCTTGGAGACAAAGTTGAACTTTCAGGGCACCAGCAACATTCTTGTAATGTTGTGGCTGAAAATCTAACATTATTACATATTATAAGTCTGCTGTTTCCCTGTGTGCGGTAGGGTTTCAGCCTTACGTTCAGTCATTTCAAATCCAATTACAGCGAAGGCCGTATTTTTTTTCCTTTTGTTCTGCATTTTCCTCCCCACCACCATGTAAGTCTTCATCACAGCATCACTAAGAGCTTGTCACAGTGAATTTGCCAAGTTGTGCATTCCCAGGGTTTAAGAATAATTTCCCTGCCTCAGTATGCTAGATGCTGAGCTATGATGTCATAGTTTTTCCACAAGTATTGTTTAGAAGGGCAGTATCTCGCAGTCCTTTCTAGCATTTACCCTAGCAGATTGTCACATACTGGTACAGCAACAAACCGCAAAAGCAGGTTAACACTCAGGAACTTAAGGTAAAGCAGACAGCTTGTAAGTGAGGTCAGCAATGCAGTATGGAGGTGAAGGAGATCATGAGAGCGCTGTGTTGGACAGTCTCTGCTTAATTGAGCTTTGCAGATTTATTGCGGATACATGGTGTTCTCACAGTGCTGTGCTGGGTCCCTCCGTGGTCAAGCTCCAACACAGAAACTGCTGTACTACTTTGAGCTGACACTGGATTCGGCTCACTTGGTGGCTGTTCACTCCCCCAAGAGTTTTAGAAAAGCAGTGCTCGCCTTTAGCAATCACACCTCAAAGACAGACTGCTAGCAGTGTCAACATTTGCTTTGCTGTAGCTTAGAAAATGCAGAATGTAACGTTTGTCCACAAGGGCTTTGGCGATTCGGCTGAAATCAGAGCTGAGGACATTAAGCAATGACTGCGGTGTAACGAATATTGATATTCTTTGGCTCCCACTGCAATATTGCAAGCAGTCTTAATCACGTAACACTGGGCAATTTTCTTTTCAGCAGTTATTGCCAAGTATATATCTAAACTGTGTTTTGGGGAAAATGTTAGATTTGATTTTTTTTTGTTTATTACCAGAATATAGCCCAGTAAGGCCATGGCCTAAAAACCAAACTAAAATGGTCATGAGTTACCCAGAGCTCATAATGTTTGGAAGTGTCATGTTTTATTGGAAATTGCTTTCTACAAGAAAAATGTTTTGATAGAAAGAAGTTTAGATGACTTCAGGGAAAGTTGTAGACCTTTAACCTTGTATCCGAGTGGCCTTAAGCCCACCAAGAAGCAATATTGAGCTCGTTTATGATGCTGGAATCCCTAGTTCAAATAGTTCCTTGTTCAGCCTTTGCAACGGGGGGGTGGCACTGAGTTTGTCACAGCAGGTGATGTCGCCCTCCTAGAACATGGATAGAGCTGAATTCTGAAGCCAGGGTTGACCGCTTCAACTGTAAGCAAATCCCAGATTCTTATGCTCCAAGATGGCTGGCACAGAATCCAGGAATTCCTATTCCGATATCTTCGACCACTTTTCATGGCAAAGCTTCCTGACAAGCTCAGTACAACATATTGGAGCTCTTGACTTTCTCTCCATCAGGCAGAAGTTTGAATGGTCCCCATTTACCAGCCTGCACAAACACCCATGCATTAATAATTCCTCGCATAGGGGTTTCTCTTAGGATCACGGCAAAACTTTCCTGTTTAACACGTATCCATCTATGACCTCAAATCCTGTTAGGCTACAACTGGGGATAGTCTTGTTTCTTTTTTCCAAACTTTTAAAAACGTCAATCCAAACTTCCCCTTAACTGGCTTTCACCAACGCTGAATTAAAATCCCATCTGCTCTCACTCAGCCTTGTCCCTGTATCTTCACACAACCCCAGCTACTCCTCTGTGGTAGTTCTTTAATATCCTTGACAATGCATTCTCTTTCACCCTCTCTCTGGGTGCTACTGTTTATCAATAACCTGCTTCAGTGAAGAGATGGCCCTCGTGGATTTCTGGGATCTCTTCGGCAAGAACAGCAAGTGGATGGAAAGTCACTGTTGTTGTGGTTGAGCAATCTGCAGGTCACAGCTGATGTGTTGTCCTCATTATGTCCACTGACACACGGCAACAACAGCAGATCCAATTGTTCTTCTCCAAGGTTGCTTCTTGCTGATATCAACCTTTTTTTGGTCTGAATTGGAACCCTGTGGGGTCCAACTGGGTCAATCATTATTCGACTTGAAGTGGGTTTCTCCAGGAGTTGCAGTACAATGCGCTTGGCGTACCCGGGTAATCTTTAGTGCCCAAAGTTTTTGACGCAATCATGTCTTCAATGACCTGCTGTGAGTCTGCAAGCTTGCAGAGATACTTGTATCAAAGGTAGACATACTACTCCTTTTGTAAGTCTAATGCATGCATGTGGGTGTGTCAGAGAAGCATACCCAAAGAGGCTTAAACTGTTAATTCATAGAGCCATGGGTTCATGAGCTCAGTGAAAAAAGGAACCCCACCAGCCTACTTCTGCAGCTGCTATAGCTATTGGAGCATAAGCAAACAGGTAAAACTCATTACCCTTTATTGCTTTTTACTTAATTTATGGTCTCCTTCCCATGCAGAATGGAGACTGCACAAAAAAGAGTTTTTTTTTTAGCCTTCGTCAATTTTTTTTTGATGCCCCCCACACAGAGGAAAATCGAACTGAAAGAAAATTATGAACATCAAGAAATCCGACGGCAACGCACAGGTTTTTAGCGTGCGTTGTAATGTGTGATTTTTTTAAAAAATTTATGTTCCTGGGGCCGGAAGATGAAAGGAGAAACGGCGCGTCCGCAGAAGCGCACAGATTTATCACAGCCCCCTTGTGGCTCCTGCGCTCCAGATTCGTGCTGCACAGGAAATGAAGCTGCCGGAGCCAAAAATTCTGGGTAACTGTCGAAAGGGGCAAGTTATTGATTGTACAATTTTATTGACGACTTTAATATGCCGGAATGTACAGTTAATTTAGAACACGAAACCGGGAAGGAACAGGGAGCCACAGATGATGAGCTGCCTGGGGACTTTTTTAATAGAAGTTGTTTACACTGCCTTATTAAAACTGCACGAAGAAAGCGATCCAACAAGAAGCGGTGATTTTTGAGAAACCGTGTTGACAAGATGCACAACGTGTGCAGATGTCAGGAGTTCTCTTTCAGACGGAGCTGTTTTCTAACTTTTAATTGGTTTCATGTGAAAAGGTTTTGAGGGGAAAAAAACACTGTAATTTGTACAGTGAGCGGTCTTGTTTTGCGCGTGTGTGTGCTTCCAGAGCTCAATAGAGGAAGGATTTTGAGCTGTCCTTGTAAACCAGCACGTTGCTGAGCACAGCCAGGTTTTCCATCAGCTGGAAACAAATGAGAAGAAATACGTCTCTTGGTCCCGGGTCTCCTTGCATCTTTTGGCTTTTGTTCAAGCACTTCATTACTCGGGTTAATTGCAATCTTAATTGTTCTTTTTAATAATTAGATTTTTGTAACCTTTTTTTGCACTCCAGTCTTTTGTTTTAGAAATACTCCAGCATAACAGTCAACAGAATGCCTACTACTAATTCTCTCTTCAGTCTTGGGTAATGAACATTTTTTTTTTCTCTTGTGGCTGTCCAAATAGCTCTTAATATATTTTTATTTTATGGACCCAGGTTGGAAAAGATTTTTCCTACATGTTGTTATTGACAGTATTTCATAACTGCTATGCAAATGGCAACAGCCTGAAGCTAAACCTACCTGACTTGAATCCACCAACAATCAAACTGCTCACAATTCACATGCTCCAAGTCTTGGGAAAAACTGATGACTTATGGGGTTCTATCACTTGCTAGATTGTGGCTTCAATAAAAATAGTGCCAGCTACTTGGTATTGTGGGTTTGCCGCTCTTTCATCAGTGATGGCCACAGCACCCTGCAGCAGGGTGCTGTGGTATACAGTAGGTGGTGTGACAGAGGAATGTCCATTTTAGAGGAAGGCCTGCATGGGACCCATTCATTCTACAGTGGAATCAAGATCAACAGTCAGTCAGGTCTTCCTGTAACAATTAGTAATTTCATATTCGAGGAGCTGAGTGCGTTGGGGGGGAGTGAGGGTTTATATAAAAAAAATTCCAAATTAAAAAGGGAGAGGGGAAAATAAGTTTTATCTCAACTGTACACTCACTTACAGCACAGGGAAAAGGATTAAGTCTGTTAATCTATGACGGAATTGCTGTATTTAGTGGGTTTTTTTTTTGGCCTGAGGTTTGCAAATTCTGAAGGAACACAAGTTCTAGACCAAATGCTGTAGAAATGTTTTTACCCTTATCTAATATTGGTCCTGTCAAACTAGATATCAGTGATTGAAATGACTGGGGAAACTCGCACACAGGCAGCCAAAAGTAATTAAGAGTTCAAAAAGGTGTTAAATTCCACTAAATATGGATATGTATTGAGAAGACAATTTTTAGACTTTCTAACTGTTACATTCTGGTAATCCACAAAAAAGATATCCAAATTAACAAGGTACCTACAGTATACAGTTTGATCTGATCAATAATAAGTGGCAGCATCTGTGCTACATAGGCTTACAGTGGTCAGAAGTGAATGCTTCAAATTGAATCTGGGAAAAAAAAACATACATTTTACTAATAAAAATGTGTCTGCCTTCCATGAAAGGAGGGAACAGATGCTCTTCTAGCCCAGCTCCTCATTATGCTCCCTCTCTCTATAACCTTAATAGTTGGCAGCCTGTCTTTCCTGTAGGCGCCAAGCTTGGGCCTAGCTGAAACAGAGTTAGAAGCGGACCGTTGTGACTGGAGGGGAAAGCAGATTACTCACTCTAGGGATTGCAAGGGACTTTCTGCTGGGCGGCAGGATATTGCTCACTGAGCTGAAGTCTCTCTCGCACTCGGTGGCTCAAGCTGCGAGAACATCCAGTGTTGTGATCAGCCTTACCATCTCTGCAGGCACCTTCTTTCCTCCTTCGCTTTTGTGCTCTCTGGGACCTTCAGCAATCTGCCTTTCAGACAGGTGAAACCTCTTGTTGAGGGAGAACACAGCTCTTATGTCCTTACTGTGTCGGGGGGAGGAGAAGAGAAGGGAAGAATACTATTACATGTTATCTCAATTTGTAACGTTTTAAGATTCAAAGAATAATTCGAGAAGGACTTCAGGTGTTGCAGCCTTATCGGCATATACCGTACTTAATTTACAGCAACAGCGCGATCTCGGCAGGACTGAGCTCTTCTCGAGCGCGCTCCCGCGCCCGGGCTCGGCAACTTAAGTGCGGTCCCCATGGCAACCAACCCACGCCGTCTCAGCCAATCGTGAGGGACCAGTTTTGGCGCCCCGAATCAGTCCAACGGAGCCGTTACACACACGCCATACGGCAATACGCCATTAAACAGGCGCACCATGGCATTGTCGCCACAGTACTGTTCCCTCACACAGATTTAGTATTTATCCACATAAAAGCCCAAGTTCTCTCAAACTCCCCTACAGATCTAAAGTCTTAATTTCGAAAAATCGTTTTCGTAAGACATTTCTAACTTGTCTTAAAATAATCCGCTATTGAAACGCATTCGGAATTTACGCTCATTCATTCTAACGCCGTTGCGATTTGGTTGCGCTTTGAGCTACAAATGGGCTGAATTACAACTTCTTGCCGAGCACGGTGAGGGCCTAAGTTATTTATCAAGACTGTCAACCTTGAACGAAAGCTTTATTTTTTATTTTGTCTCGTACACTATCATTTTATTGTCTGATGACAACCGGAGAAATAATACTAAAGCTTTATTAGACCGATTTACAACGTTCAATTACGGCGTTATGGAGTGGCAAAACACAGCTCGGAAGGCTCAAATTCGTTGTGTCGCTAAACGAAACGGTATACCTACTCCTGTTTACCGACGATGTCACTAGCCTTAAATCCGTCGATTGAAAGTCGAGCAGTAACTATTACTATACGTTACTCACAACCAATAGGAAAGCACCGTCGTCTGGTGAGAGCCAAGAGTACTTCCTCCAGGGGTTTGATGGACCAATCAAAATCCCCGAGGCAATAGCGTTTAATATTGCGTAAATATGATTGGCTACGGAATGTAGGGTCACGATGAAGGCGTGGCCTCTCCTTTTGGCCTTATTTGGTTACAGGAAGTGCTCCTTCCTGCAACAGCTCGGAAGGCACGTAGAGGCGCACGGTTTTATATGCTAAAATCACAGTCTAAAATTATGCTGGGCTCTAATTATTCTCAGGGAGCACTCACTTACAGATTCTGTACTACCAGATATTGAAAATTCGTTATTTTAACTTTTATTAAACGTTAGAAATATTTGATCATTGTTTTCTTTGGTAAGAAACAAAGTTTGTCTCTAACACAGTGTATTGCTTTTTTTAACCGATACAGTAGAAAAACACCTTAATAAACACCCGGTACATGCGCGAAGTACAAACTTTCTCAAGCGCAACTAACATAACTCGACTTTTGCCATCACAATTCATTTATTTCAAATGTGTTAATTAATTAATTGGATATTTTTTTCCCTTCTGTTTACCCTGCAGTCACTCCCCGTTCGGTGGTAAATGACATCTGATTATCCTTCCTGTAGGGAGGCTCTTAATTACCTTAATTATCGTAATTAATCAACGGGGGGCTGATGACATGCAGATCTGTGTGTGAATTCTTAACGAGCCGTTAAGTTGTAAAAAAGTAGATATGTTTGTTTTAAACATTCTTACATGTACTGTATGGAGGGTCAGAGCGTCAGAATTTGGAGAGGAATTTCCTTTTTGGGGTTTTAATTTGTTCACCGTTCTGGAATCCTCGAATGGAAAATAATCCTGTTGACCTTCACACTGTCTGCCATAGTAGTGCAGGTGACTGTAATAGTGATCACGATGACAAAGACGTTACATCTGAGAGTGTTAGTGACGGGACGGTAACACTGAAAGGGATATTGATGCGACTAGTGACGAATAGTATTGTAATGAAAGCTATCGCGATGACGGTGATGGTGATAGAGTAATGGTCACAATTAGGTTTACAGTGATAGTGACTGATTATGTAATGGTGAAAACCACCGTGATAGTGATAAAAACCGAGTAATGGGGTGTTGACGCTGATAGTGACAGATATTGTAATAGTGAAAGCTATGGTAATAGTGATAGTACTGGTCACAGTGGCGTTTACACATTTTCATATTGTAATAGTGACGATGATAGTAAGAATGACTGATGTAGAGCGATGGTGATCGTGTTAGTGACAGCGAAAAAGCAGTGGTGACACTGGTATTGACACTAAAAATAACTGATTATGATGGTAACAGTGAGAGGGAGAATGATCACATCTGTAATAATGATAGTAACATTGACACTACTATTGAGTGATATTGTAACACTGATGGTGACCATGAGTGACAATGATCATTGTGGTGAGAAGGACAGTGATAGAGACAGTAACAGTGACATTTGAAAGGACGGAGACTGTTACAGTGAAGGGGGGATAGCAGTAGAAAAAGTGGCAGTAATATTAACAGGGAGAGTGGGAGTGATCGAGGCAGTGCAAGCAATGATAGTCACAGTGTAGTGACACCGTGTTAGTCACGGTCACAGTTACAGTGTCAGATACAACAAGTGGTGGGCACCATGAATGATGGCGACCGTGCAAGTAATCAGGTCAGTGACAGAAACTGCGATGGTGACAGCAAGACAGACGGTGCCAGTGAGAATGATAATAGCAAGAGTGAGGGCATTTGTCACTTTTGTGGTCACTATGGCATAGTGATGGTGACAGTGTCTGATACACTGGCAGACTGCTCGGCTGTGTAATATACTTTGCCAGACATGCTGGTTGACACCTGCTGATTTCCTGGCCTGTGCAGTCCCCGACTTGTGGGCCATCTTTGTGAATGCTGAACGGGCACACGGACTCCAGTCACTATCCCGCTCTGCCTCCCCTTTCCTCTCCGAAGAAAGTGCGCAGTCTCCTTCTCTTTCTGTCGCTCCCCACCCAAAGTCTCAGCTCTGACCTCTGCCTTCCTCTCTCTCTTCCTATGCCTCACCCTCTCTTTCTCAGCCACATCTCCCCCCCCACATCCAAATACAGGGGGAGCCATCTGCCAATTGCAGTGTCTGCCTGCCAGAGGCACTTTTTTAATCATTTGCTGGTGATTTGACAAGCAAGAGAACGCCAACCAGAGAGATCAATTTTGCTTGCCCCTGGGCACGCTTCTCTCTGCCTCTTCATCTGTGATCGCCGTAATTAAAACGCAGGCCCGAGGGCGACACACACACACACAAATTTGCTGTCTGCAGAGATGTGACTAAACGGTAGGTAAACCAACAAAAGCAGAGAGGCTGTGTCACTGAAAGTAACAAGCAGAAGGGGATGCTGATAAATAGAACATTTCTCCATATGTTGCGACCTCTGTTTAGATAACATAGCTGTTAAGTCATCTTTCTGCTATGAACATTCCAGCAAG